TCATCACGTATATTTAAAAATCAATATCTCTATTATTGATGGAAATTTCGTAACACAGTTTTCACTACTGTTTTCGGTTTACACAAATCTGCAAATAACCAGATCAATATTAGGATTTTTTTTTGTTGGAAATAAGATATTCTAAAAAAAAACTTGTGTCAAAGAAGCTTCTTTTACTATATTTCATTTTCAACACAGTAAATTGACAAACGTTTTCTACATAATGTATAAAGCTTTGTAGACTGCAAATAGTTTTGCAAACCACATATTTTTAATTAATTCATGGTATATTTTGGTTTTAATCAAGATTATTTAAAATGGCAGGGGCCTTTAAAATACGTTATTTTGTCATATAAAAAATTAAAAAATTGTTATATCTCTTAGTGCCAGTCCCCTGAAGCTCTGTAGTTTGTGATTAAATAAGTTGTCAAACTTTATTAATGTTGTGTTACATTGTTGGAAGCAATGAAAAGAAATTTTGTTTAATGAAGAATTCAAAAAACTGCAAATATCATTTAGATATGTTACACAATTTACGCTTTCCACGTGAAGCTATATAATTCCTTATCCGATAATAATTTCTAAATTGAAAATCATCTGACGACGTCAGTTTTCAAGTGGCTGCTCAGAGTGACTATAAAATTATTGTCGGAGAATTAATCACTTTTAATCTCACTTGTCAAAATTTAATTCTCGAATACTTTGGCAACAAACACGCTACATACTTGAACTTGAAAGATAAGCACAAAAACAACATCATTATCTTTTAACAAGGTGTCTCGTACCAGGAAACAGAAATTGCTGGAACACAAATTTAAGACTGGGGATCTCAAAAGACATTTGTCTTGTAGTGCTATCTCGTATTGTCAAAGAGAACGGATTCTGTGGAAATTTCGCATGTTTTACAAATTCAATCGTAACTTTAAAGTATTACTATATATTATGGTGCTTCGTGGTGAAACATATAAATATCACTCCAATTTCCGCACCTTTTTTATATTTACGCCCACCATGAATATTATTATCATTCTTCTACGTTACAATAAATATGTTCTGCATTGGTAGCAAATTCGCGGCTTTTCCTTCAGGCAATAAATGTGTTGTTCCTCGACTTCAAAATGCTTGAGGTGTCTTTGCTTAAAACTAATAAATTGTAGATGCTGGATTTCCCTCCAGTTCGACAGCTCAGATCAAAAATATGTAAAACGAGTACAAAAACACAAGACTATGATTAAATTCAAAATTGTACGATTTTAATAAGGAGGCGTTATTAAATTCAAATTGATGTTGATGCTTTTATTCCACAGTATATTTTTAAAGACTCTACTCCTTTTATTTATAAATTTAAAAAAACTGCTGACAGTTTGAGCATGAAGTTTAGCAATTATGCCTGGTTTTATATTCGTAGTTAACGATGCAGTGTGTGCTTGTTCAAGCTTTGAACTGATGTGACACACGTTGCTACGTCATCTCCGCCCTTATAGCTTTTTATTGCTACACGCTTTTACCCACTAAACACAAAAAGAGTGCAGATATAAAACCTCTCAATTTATGGGTCCCGTTTTTTTGAATGGAACTATAAAGATACTTGGAACTTTGTTACTTAGTAATGAATTTTTGAATTACTGAATTAATAAATAACTAAAGATTTTATTGGACAATTAACCAATTTGTGGAATCGTTCAGAATCTAAGTTATGACATTTTAATACAAGTAAAGAATATAAATATATAAAAAGAAAATACTGTTTAAAATGAAAAGGTTTAATAGAAAAGATAAATTGACTTATCGATTTAGTAAGACAACAGAAAGTGCTATAACTCTTTGACATTCAAAAAATTTGGCAGTTATAAATTAAAAAAACCTTTTATATGAAAGTTATTTAGCTCAAATAAATATTTATATTCAACAAAAAATTCTTTTCATCTCTAAAATATAGTAGAATCATTCTTCTGGATTTAGTTTGTAAAATAAATTTTCGGACTGTTTTATTTATGGAATAGATTTTATATTTTTACAAGTTTATACCAGATAATAATAACAATAATAATAATTAGATCAATAGATATATAGCAACTATATTTTACACCTATAGCCAATAAATAAATTATTCTTTGTCGAATCTAGAGCCGTTTAGACCCCGTTGTCATAAATTCTAATAAAATATAGATTCCTGAGTTCGCTGAACCCCAATTCGAGGATATTTGGTCAGAAATAAAAGCTTTTTATGACTTCTAATGCCAACACAACTTTTAGGATTAAGTTACTTATGACTACAGCTGTGCGGTTGAAATTTAAACGCTGCGAATTGACCCCCACTCCGGCAGGCCAGAGGCTTGCATCCGACGTTATGTATCGCGAAGAAAATTACGCGAAAAATAATGTTAACGGCATGTCAGTTGATGATTTTAAAATCCATATTCACGAAATAAGAGTAATCATAATTTTAATAATGTTCAGGTGTCCGTCTCGCTGACAATAAAACTATTTGTGTGAATTATCAAAAATAATCCACAACTGAAAAGCGAGAAGCGAGCAAGGCACTGTGGGCCGATAGTGGGGGTAAATAAATTTCAACCGCACAGCTCTACTTATGACTTTAAAACAATATAAAAAACGTTTTAACAGACCTTTACCACCAACGCAGTTTCAATTAATTCTATTTTGTCAAATATATATATATATAGTATTTGTTAGTACGAGCAATAGTTGGAGTTCCAGTCAAAGAAGATGTCAACATTGTTGGCGAAACACGTCAATAGATATGTAACAGGCTGTAGAAAGGCGTATATTTAAAAAAATATGTAATCAATAAATTTTTGGGTGACCTCATAAACGTTCTGGAAAGCACAGACTAAAAAACTTTGGTTAATTTCTACATTATCACAAGACCAATTTTTTACTGGCGCAATAATACTTGATATGTAACTTTTGGTTCCGTGGTTTTTAATATTTAAATTTTAAATTTAAATTGCCAGAATCTCAGTTTCTTAGTTTTCATAACATGCTTTCGAGCTCTCCGTTTATACTATTTTTAATATTTCAATTCAATATTTTAATTTTTGGAAGTTCTTTGGACACTTGAATAAATCCCGCTTTAAATAAAAAAACAACATAGCTACGAAGAATGACAGTTTAATAATTTTAGTCTCCTGTTTTGAGGACACAACTCATTCAGATTAAACAAATTTCTATGCAACATTCTTTTTTAGATTTTCTTATACAAGTGACTCAAAAAAAAGCAATTTATCAGTCAATTTATTTTATTGAATAAATAAAGAATTGCAAAACTGAATACTTTGAAATCTTGCAGACGTCTTAAAGTTATTGTAAGCACGGTAAATTGTTAATCAAAATATATCTGTTTATTCCCCTAAAAATTTGACGACGTCGACTCAAAATTTTGACAAAAAAATTCTACCCAAATTGTACAAAATTTGATGAATTTTTACTTGTGATTTATCATTGCATATTTGTTAGATTTGCTTAAAGAGGTGGCTTAAAACAATTAATAACTTATTTAATTGATTAAATCAGGAACGCCTCACTCCATTTTTCCAGAAAAATTTTGGGAACACAATACTGTTTTTAGTATTATAGTCGTACTGCGCCAATCCAAGTTGACATATATCTCCTTGCAAAAATGTAGATGTCGTGATCACATAATTATGTAAAGGAAAAACTGGATGCTTAGCGTCAAAAATCAAGACGGATTCATGAACCAGTATGTTATTTTAATAAATTTAAATTATATTTACTAAAAGAAATTTGAGGAGACATCACCGAATTGTTGGTGCAGGTCACTACCCAAATTTAGGTTCGTGTTTTACCATCAACATGATATTCCTAATACAGGTATAAAATTTGACAACAATCGGTCCAGTGGTTTCGAAGATCATGTGTCTAATAAAAATCGACACAGATAGACGACAGCCAGACGAAGACCTATTTTTTCGAGTTCTCGGGTCATAAAACGCTGGAAAAATATTAAACTAGTCGATCGACACATTACGATACTTCCTCAACTTATGCTGATAGATAGATTAGTATATTCCATAATTAGTATATTGATAATGGAATTTCTGGAAGCGAGCGGAAACTAAGGAAATTTTGTAATAGGTTTCATCTAGCGAATGGCTACTTCTATGTTTTCTCGACGTTTTAAGACCCCTAGAGTAGGGATAAATAAGTCTTCCGTTTCAATCTGTCTTTCTTCCTAAAAACTGTATGTGTTTGATTACAAATTTCTTAACATATCAAACCCAGAACCAGATAAGTTGCATTTCAAGTACTACATCACTGTATAGAAAAAAAATGTAAATTGGGATACTCGGTTTGATTTCTAAAGTAACTGTTGTAAAATCTTGGTTTGCAATTTTTTTATAACTTTTACGTAGAGTTAAGAACGAAGATTACACGTTTTTCAAGTTTACAGAATTTTGAGTTTTTACTTTCCGAGCGTAAGTTAAGGATTATTTTCCAAAATTCTTGAGAAATGGATGAAAATGTCAAAAGTGCCAAAATCAGTCTTATCTTATCAAATGCTAGCCCCGCCCACCCACCCTCTAATTTATTGCAATGTATGCCATCTGCCAAAATTAGTCTTATCTTAGCAGGCACTAGCCCCGCCACGCGCCCTCTTCGCATTCTAATGACTAATTTTATTTCTGTTCAGTATAAGATCATGAATTTCATTCAGACTGGATAAAATCAATCACTGAAAAGGAGACATGGGTGGGTGGGGGGGGCTAATTATACTTTTCTGTCGAGTGGGAGTGGAAACTAATACAGAGAGTTCATTAATGATCGAGAACCACGTGACCAGTTAATTATTTGTAACTAATAAATCGATTGGCATTATTGATTAATGATAAATTATTTTTGCTAAATTGTTATTCTTAATCTGCCATTAGTGTCATTTACGATCAGTAGCGTCCTTGTAGTAATAATTCCCATTCTCGCGTTTTTTAGTGTTTTCCAATTGTTTACTTACATACAACTCAGTTCTTTTCAGAACTAACTACTTGAAATTAACAACTGTGTGGTACGTAATCAAATTTGGTAAAATTTTACAAAACGCAGGCACTGTTCGATTTCACACAAACTGTTTGCACAAAACTCTTCTAGAGCACCCCCTGATCACGTTCCTCACCTTCAAATGTTATGTCCACAAAAAATTGTTAAATTTTGCATTCCTACAGTCTTTAATATCAGTCGTTGCTAATATAACCTAACTTTTTACAGTCATCAACGCGCGGATGCGCGGAAGGGTAATGTCTGATTTTTAATAGACACACGGGCTCTTCGCGCCCACAGACTATCCCCTCGCGCCATACAGCCCATCACAAACATACTCTTTAACGTGGAACTTCTTGCTCCGTGATCATTTAGTTGTTGGAATTGGTGCCAGTTAAATTGCGTGTGTTATATGGCCTATATCGGCCGCAACTATAGGGTGCGAACACTGAATATGTTTTTCTCACACAAGGTGTCATTTATACACATCTGAAGGATAGAAACGTGTTCAGGGGGTGCTGCAGAAGAGTTCTGTGGAAATGGTTTGTGCGAAGGCAAATAGTGCGTTGTGTGAAGTTTCATACCAAATGTCTATATGAAATTAAGTATGTTTACTTTGACATTTTCAGGAAAACTTGTTTAACAATGGTTTTCACACCCGAACAGGATGCTTTCATTCTGATGGCTCACTTTCGAAGTGGAACCCGAAACCCAGACGGAACCTGGTCTTATTCACTGCAGTCGTGTATTGACCAATTTACGGAAGCCTTTCCAGATGCCAATGTTGGGTATCAAACATTTGCAAATCATAAGGGGGTCCTTGTTCATCATTTTGAGACTAAAAATTGTATTTGCAAAGGAAAGACAATTGCCAGAAAAACTGTTTCGACTGAAGAAGTTACAGAAGACATCCAGCATCGGTTAGAACAAAGTCCAAATAAATCTATACGAAAATTATCAGCACAGACAGGTAAAGATTGGTTGTCAGATTTTTTATTTTTTAAAGGCGTTAAATATATTCATAAGAATTAAAGAGATTTTTTGATACAGTTTAAAAATTAAATTGTTGCAGGTCTTTCAGTCGGAAGTTGCCATAAAGCACTACATAAAGTTCTGCACATGCACCCGTATAAAGTTTCAGTCATCCATGAATTACTTCCACCGGATTTTGATCGAATAATAAATTATTGCCAATGGTTTAATAATAATTTAAATGATGATGCCTTATTAGACTTAACATTTTTCACTGATGAGGCATGGTTTCATTTAAGTGGATACGTGAATAGTCAAAATTATAGAACGTGGGCTACTGAGAATCCTCATATTTTTGTAGAAACTAGTTTGCATCCAATAAAAGTTGGACTTTGGGTAGCCATTTCAAGAAGAAGAATTATAGGACCGATTTTTTTTCACGATACGGTGAATGCTGAAAGATATCGCACTAATATTCTACAACCCTTTTTTGAACAACTGCATGATGACGAATGCCAGTATGGTTACTTTCAGCAAGACGGAGCGACGGCACATACAGCAGGAAGCACACTTCGTTTCTTGCAGGAAATTTATGACGATCGAATTATAAGTCAAGGACTGTGGCCCCCAAGATCGCCAGATCTCACCGCGCCGGATTTTTTTTTGTTTGGTCATTTGAAGAACAATGTTTTCAAAAATAGGTTGCATACCATTGATGAGCTGCAACAAGCAATAACCCATGAAATTGAAAATATAACTCCTTACACTCTTCAACGAGTATTTGATAATATGAAAAGAAGAGTTAATATGTGTATTGCTAACGAAGGAAATCATTTTCAACATTTATTGTAAATACCTAAATAAAAACAATTTATGAAATGCTTTATTTTTTTATTCTTAACTCCTTTGTGACGCCAATGAATTTAGGGACATTAATCTGCACTTTTGCCAATTGTGTATCTTTGGTTGCATAGATTTTTGATCACGTGGTTCTCGATCATTTATGAACCCTCTGTAGAATCTAGGGTGTAAAAAAAATAAAAAAAGAACTGACCAGACCCCGGATTATTTTTTAAAATAGTTGAAAAATGGACGAAAATGTCAGAAGTGCCAAAATCAGTCTTATCTAAACAAGTACTAGCCCCACCCACCCACCCTCTATTTTTTTGGAAGCTATCTCATTTGCCAAAATCAGTCTTGTCTTAGAAAGTACTAGGCTCGCCCACCCGCCCTCTTCTCATTCTAACGACTAATTTTATTTCTGTTCAGTATAAGATCATTAATTTCATTCAGATTGGATCAAATCAATCACTGAAAAGGAGACATGGGTGGGTGGGCGGGGCTAATTATATTTTTCTGTCGAGTGGGAGTAGAAACTAATAGAATCTAGGATGTGAAAAAAATAAAAAAAGACCTGACCAGACTCTGGATTAATTTCTAAAATTGTTGAAAAATGGGCGAAAATGTCAAAAGTGCCAAAATCAGTCTTATTTTTGCAATTACTAGCCCCGCCCACCGGCCCTCTGTTTTCTTGGAAGCTATCTCATTTGCCAAAATCAGTCTTGTCTTAGAAAGTACTAGCCCCACCCACCCGCCCTTTTCTCATTCTAACGACTAATTTTATTTCTGTTCAGTATAAGATCATTCAGATTGCATAAAATCAATCACTGAAAAGGAGACAGGGTGGGTGGGCGGGGCTAATTATGTTCTTCTGTCGAGTGGAAAGGGAAACTAATAGAACCTAAGATGTGAAAAAATTGGTCTAAAGAGTTTAGACAGTACTTCCCTCGCTGTCGGAAACTTGACGACTGCATGCCTATTGTGTTTTTTTTCTCATTACATTTTTGTAGTGGGAATTTAAAAAAAAATTGCGATGACGTCATCAACATTTTTGCAAGGACACGTATATCAGTTGGGATAGATGTAGTGTAATACTAAAAATAAAATTATTATATTCTCAAATTTTCGGGAAAATGAATTGGGTCGTTTTGAATATTGATTTGTAATAATCAATAAAATAACGAAACAATTTACTCACGTATACATATCAGAGGCAACTGAAAATCGTGTATGTATAAACACTCTTAATTTAAGATGACAGGCGTAACAGCATACGTGAGAATCAAACAAAGAAACTGTAAACAAAACGACAATCGGTTTTATTGCGTCGACTTCCGCTTATTATATAAAACATTGGATTTTATTTTAATTTTTGACGGTGGAATTCACAATTGGTTGATTTAAAACATGTCTATACCACATTCGCGGAACCTAGTCAGCTATGTTTCAACCGAGTTTTAACTTTAAAAAATTTTGTGTCTACCAAATTGGGTTGGTCCAATGTAATACTAATAATAAGTGTTGCCTTTAATTTGATCAATAAAATAAATTTACTTCATTAATTTTTTTGAGCCACCCTTTAAGAAAATCTAAAAAATATGAATGGAATGATAAATCACAAGTACAGATTCATCATATTTTTCACATTTTAGATAGGATTTATTTACCAAATTTTAGCGTGACGTCATCAATTTTTTTAGGGGGGGATGAGCAAATAAATTTTGATAAAAAATTTACCATGCTTATGATAACTTTAAAGTATCTCCAAGATTTCACAGCATTCGGTTCTGTAATTCCTGATTAAATCAATAAAATAAATTGACGCATTCATTAATTTTTTTGAGTCACCCTGTATATGCAAATCGAAAAAATTTGAATGGAATGATAAATGACAAGAAGAGACTCACCATATTTTGTACATTTTATTATTATTATTAATATTATTATTATTATTGATGTCATAGAGCAGAGGCAAGAGCCTATTATGCTCGACTCGAGGAACCCTGTACTGGGAGCTGAAATTCACTACCATCTCTATTAAGGGGGTGCTCGAACGACGGCTGGAACATCAATATATTTATATATACTTTTTTTTTTTTTAAAGATCAGTCAGGTGGTTATAAAGTTTATTTTTAAAGGAGGCAGTGCTACTTGACTCGATGAGATCTGAATCCAAACTGTTCCATACGTCGAAAACTCTGTTCGATAAGAAATTTTGACGCCACCTGGTCTTGTATTTTTGGTGATGCAACTTCATTGAGTGGCCGCGAAGATGAATTTTAGATAGGATTTATTCAGCAAAATTTTGTGGTGACGTCATACATTTTTTAGGAGGGGACGACCAAATACATTTTGATCAAAAATTTACCATGCTTATGATAATTTTAAAACATCTTCAAGATTTCAAAGCATTCGGTTTTGTAGTTTCTGAGTAAATCAGTAAAATAAATTTACGCATTCTTTAATTTTTTTGAGTCACCCTGTATATGCAAATCCAAAAAATATGAATGGAGTGATAGATCACAAGTACAGACTCATCATATTTTGTATATTTTAGATATGATTTATTCCACAAACTTTTGAGCTGACGTCATCAAGTTTTTGGGGGGGATAAGCAAATATTTTTTGACTAAAGATTTATGATGCTCTTTATAGCCTTAAAACATTTGCAACATTTCAAAGCATTCTGGTTAGCAGATTAAAAATTAAATTTCAAAATGTTTTATAATTTCGCTCGGGAAGTAAAAATAAAAAAAGATCTGATCAAACTCTGAATTATTTTCGAAAATAGTTGAACACTGGACTAAAATGTCAAAATTGCCAAAATCAGTCTTATTTTATAAAATATTCCAAGAGTACGAAAAAATTAGTCTCCCGTTTCCGATTATTTGTCTGTCTATCTGTCTGTCTGTCTATCTGCCATCTGTGTCGATTTTCGTTAGACAAAGAATCTTCAAACCTATCAAACCAATTGTCAAATTTTATGTGTGTATTATGAATATTATTACGTTGAACGGGTATTTAAAAATCGGCGTGGGTAAAACTCAGCAAATTATTTCTCAAATTTACACTACTAACTATTTAGTGTCTTGACTAGACTCTACTTCTCTCATTGTCTGGACTTCACTGACTGCTCCCGACGGTGGTTCCCATTTAAACAGCAACCAGTCCTTCTCGAAAGGTCGCCGTCACCGCTTCTATGTTTGTTCTGGAGCAGCCATCGCGACTTCCGCTTCCAGGCTTTTCTTTAGCGAACACCGTCCGGCCGCGGTCACCCACGATGAATCATCCATCATCGCCACACATACGAGAAAACCCATAGGCGTCGTACCGGGGAGGCGTATGGGTGTATGGGTTTATTTCGTAAAAATATCATGCAGATAGTAAAACGCTAATCAAACTTTGTCTAATCTTCCTATCAACAATGTGGTGACGTCACCCTAAAATTTTACATAGTAAATGGGTTTTAAATTGTATAAGATAACATAGCCCTACACGTGTAGTTTATGAATTCGTGTTGAGCTTTTACTCAGACATTTGAGTTTTTGTAAACGACAAATTAAATCGTATAACAATATTTTACAGTTTAATTTTGAATCTGCAAAATCGAGTGCTTTGAAATCGTGTAGACGTTTTAAAGTTATTGCAAGCATGTTAAATTTTTAATTAAAATATATCTATTGATCTCCCTGCAAAATTAATGACGTCATTTTATAATATTACCGACTCCACTCATATTTTTAGAATGGCTTATGCAGGATGGTTCAAAAAAATTAATAAACCAATTTATTTTATTAATTAAATCAGTATAGGCTCACTCATGAAAATTTGGGAATACAATACTGTTATCATTAGTGTTATCCTACACCTATCCAAATTGATATACATGTCCTTACAAAATAAAAAAATGAGGTTCGTAATATCATTATTATAATTTTTAGAAAAAGCTGGATATGTTTTATTGTACTTACTTCAGGGTCGAGGAAAACTCGGTTAAAATAACCTTCGATCAATTTTTTGGATTCACATTCTGTTCAGTATTCTATCACATTATAATAAATATAATAAGCTTAAAACGCTTGAAAATCAGGCTCAACCCACCACTGATATCAACGCTGTAGCAGATAATTTAGAAGACTATGGGTAGAACATAAAAATAAAAAAAGAGTATGCTGCAACTACTGTAACGAAGAAGAAATATCTACACCACGACTAACTTTTTCACATGTATTTTACACAAATCCGTGAGATGATGAGTTGAAGCTAAAAGAAACTATGTTTAAGAAACGTTAGAGAAAAAGAAATAAGGAAAATAAGGAGTACGAATCTTGTGAGTATAAAAGAAAATAAACAATAATTTCCAACAGACGCTGCCTCATTTTAGTTCTTCCGATCAGAACAACCGATAGTTCTTAAGGTTGAATACAAGTCAGATGTGCTGAACTATTTTTAATGAGTACAATGATTTATAACACAAGACAGTCCATTGTAAAAGGTGAAAGGCTATTTTTATCTGCAAATTTCAACTGATAGAAAGGTGTTAGTACAATAATACACCGTTCAGAGCTGTTCAGTACTTCAAGTAAAAGTACTTGAAGTAATACTTCAAGTACTTTAAGTACTTCAAGTACTTTACTTGAAGTACTTTTATATTTAGGTACTTGGTACTTGGTACTTGGAGTATTTCTAAAATGTACTTGAGTTTAGTACTTGATTTTTCCAAGTACTTTACTCCAAGTACTTCACTCAGTATTTTAAATACTCTTGAATTACTTGAAGTATGAAAGTGGAAATTTCAAATACTTTAGTCTCTATTTTACGAAGTTTTCACATCTCAAAATAGGGTCTGTTAAATACTTGAAGTTATTAATTCAATTATTTGATTAGATGTATTTTTATAGTAAAATCGTGTTTGTTTCCTGTGAGGTTATATTTTGATCTGTGATTGTGGATATCTTATCCACAATATGACGTACATTTCATAGGTACTTGCATAATGCCGATAGATAGGT